TGCATTGTGAATTGCAATTTGTACCTCGTTTCCATAAATTTGACGCTATCGTATAATGCTTGTCAAATATATATAATTTTTTAAATTTAAGTGGACATTTAAGTTTCCATACCTGAGCTTGGAGTGGGGAATAGGTCTCGACCATGAAAATTTCTCCTTGAAGTCATTCCATAAAATTCTTGATTTGTTTGGTACTCTGACTTGACCGTATATTTCCCAAACTTTACAAAACATTCTCACTTATCTGGTTGAGTTTGATGAACGTAATTATATACTCCGAATAACTGACACGCTAATTGAGCATTTGAGAGTTTCGAAGGTAGAGTTGTAACTCTCCCTACCCTTTTCTAGTTGACAATTGACCAATATGAGATGTTACTTTGTTAAATAAACTAACCGAAACACCAATTCACCCTAATACTTAATTTTGATAAATAACATACCATTAGTATAAATATAACATAATAATTTAGGGAAATTGCATTCAACAACATAATCGAACGCACAGACACTAGTTAGTTTAGGGAAATTGCATTCAATAACGATCTTGTGAACCTTTATATGTTTATAAATCGAGTGAAATCTTGAACTCACGAACTGGAAATCTGCATATTAGAAGTTAAATCGTTTATGATTCGAGGAAGAGGAGTGCACTTAGGGGGATGAGCCAAAGCCAAGAAGAATCTTAATCCAGAAGCCTCTTCTATGTTGACCTTCTTTCCTCCTTCGATATCCCAATCAAAGCACTGTACCATAACTCCAACTGCGGTTTCTACTAAGATAGAAGCTAGATTTGATCCAGGACATGCTCTCCTTCCCGCGCCAAAAGCGAGGAACTTCAGTGCTTTGTCTCTTTTCTCCTCCTCTTGCTCTAGAAACCTCTCTGGTTTAAACTCATTAGGATCTCTCCAAAACTCAGGATCTCTCATCACCGCATAAGCATTAATAACAAGTGATGTGCCCTCAGGAATGTAGAATCCTCCGAATCCGATCTTACACCCTTGTTGAAATTCCCTTGACAAGACAGGTGCCACCGGGTGCAATCTTAGAGTTTCCTTGATGACCGCTTGCAAGTAAGGGAGTTTAGGTAGATCAGTTTCTTGAAGCAACCTTGATTTCCCTACCACAAAATCGATTTCTTCTCTCAATCTCTCAAGGATCTTAGGGTTGTTGATGATTTCTGCCATAGCCCACTGTGTTGTTTGTGAAGAGGTGTCACCGGCTCCAAAGAAAAGCTCCTATGATTGCAAATGTAGATTTAAATATAGTAGTGTTCGTTTGGATTATCAAAGAAATATTAAAACTAACGAGAGGATATATAGAAAATTACCGCAAATAAGGCCTTGATGTGGTATCTAGTGATCTTATACTCTGCATTTTCGTCTCGATAAGCTGCCAACAATGCATCCATAAATTCATTACCTTGATGCTCGTCCATTTTTTCTTCGTATTTCACAAGAATATTTTCTAGCACCTCCTCAAATCTGTGTGATACCTCCATTATCTGATATTTTAACAGTGATATCCCAACCTTCTCAAGCGGCTTATGAAATATTTGTGCCACAAAGAAATTAGCGGACAAGGCAGCTAACTCGACAGTAAAATCTGAGACACTCACCCCCTCTGAAAAACTACTTCCCATGCTCAACTTTCCGAGGGTATTGACCACGAGTCTCCTCGCTTCCACACCGATATCGACGCTCTGTTTCTCAGTCGCCTTATCAAGCAGATTTTTGTAGAAACGCTCTAGCTCAACTGTACGAACGTCACGTGACCGCTCCAGCGCCTGGGGTCCAATCCCCTTAGTAACGATGATTTTCTTTATGGACTTCCAGTAATCTCCATAGGGAGCTCTGAGGAGGCCAAAAGAGCCAAACACAAGACACTCATCAATTGCAACAGCACCACGAAAGGAGACGTCCATGTCGTGGTCCTTGAAGATCTCGTAGGCGACTGAGGCAGAGGAGACGAGAACGACAGGGACATGGAAGATTCGAAGATGGAGGAAAGGTCCGTACTTGGATGAGATTTTGTGAAAACACTTGTGGATTGGAGCAGTGAGGAGAAGGTGAAGATGACCAATGATCGGAAGAGAAGGAGGGCTTGGAGGCAGATCAATGCCATTCTTTGGTTTCGTGAAGAAGAAGACAAAGACAAAGATAAAGAGAGTTGTGAAGAGGCATATGAAGGTTAAGATCAGACAATTTTGAAAATCAAAAGTGACCATTAATGTCTTTGTTGCTCAAAACCTAAGAGGAGGGAAATAAGATAGAGGATTCCTTAAATCCGTTAATATAAGAAGTTGAAATAATGGAGGTCTAAAAGTATACAATAGTTTATACCAGAAGTTATTTGCAATACGCGTGACCAATCCCCTCATGCGTTTTCAATGTTTTTCTGAGTTACAACAATTGGTTTTGGATTTCATTTTTTTTCTTACACGCATTTTTTTAGTTTTCTCACTATTTTTCGTTTTACTTAATACTCTTTCCGTTTAAAAAAAAAGATTTAAAGCTTTCACACAAATTAAGAAAATAATTAATCTTTTTTGGGTTAATTAGATTAATATTACTTTGGAGAGCTATAATTAGATTTAGTTAAGTAGCTACGAAATTGCCCCTACGAAACTTACTAAGGAAAGTATTAATAAATCAAAATATTGTCTAAATCAAAAGTTATTAAGGAAAGTTACTTTCTTTTAGTTGATATACATTTGATTTACATATTTGATGAATTTGATGGTTTGGAAATTTCATAATTTCTCCAAATATGGTTAAACTGTGGTTTCTCAATCTACATAAAAATAGATAAACGTAGGAGAGAATATACAAATATAGTTCATTATATAAACATTACAATATAAAAATATAACCCACTATATAACAATATTACAATATATCGATATTAGTATATAGTTCACTATATAAACGATAGTTCCGTAAACATATAGTTCGCTACGTAACGATATCTAATTAATGTAAACTTTAGTTAACTATTCAAATAAAAATATAGTTCGCTATATAAACATTACAATAATCAATTTATCAATATTGTTAATCAATATAGTTCATTGGTTATGTATGAATAGTTAGCTATCATATCATCAATAGTGCACTATAAAAAAACGTTGCATAGATATAACTATATAGTTATTCTATAAAGTCAGCTATAGCAATTAATTGTATTTAACAAACTATAAGATTTGAACACTACAATAACCACATCAAACACTGAAGGTCATCTTAAAATCAACGATCGAATCGATCCATGGGAAAAAATAATTGAAAGAAAGAAAAAAGAAATGAATTACAATATTGAATATAA